ACCCAGGACTAAGATCTTGATATGTCTTCTTCGATAAGTCCAATCGTTTTTCTTCTCCGTCTATCAAATACCGACGAAACAGCGCGCCACGGGAACTCTATCACTATTATTCTTCCACCTACGTATTTTCCATCAATTATGCATTTGCTGGTTAGGTGAGCACATAGGAACTTTTTAGGGGTAGCTCTACATGCCGATTTCAACCAGCTCGATGCTATTATGAACTTCAATTGCATTAATTGAATGCATGCTTCCCGATTACTTGTGGTAAAACTTTTTAAAGTCCTTAACTGACTTATGCTTCTTCATACAAGAAGTTGTACCCAATATTTTATTTTCCAAGGTTAAGAGACGGTCATGATTCCCATCCGAAAAGAACCGCAGGAAGAATAACCATTTTGCAAGTTATAATATTTGTAGTTTTTTAAAGAATGTGTGAACTATTTAATTTTACAACTGTGAAAGTAAAAACATTTCTTACTCCTTTTAACTCCCTCTTGTTTCTGCTCGAATTCCATTTTTCCTGTTTAAATAATTTATTGGCGTCTTTAATGTATTACCAAATCTTCCTATTATAAAGCCCTTATAAAAGTAGTACCTTGATTTTAAAAGTTCAGAGATGATTTTACGTATTGTCTTCAGGACTACAAAAAAATTTAAATCCCTTAAATTTTAGGTTCCTAACTTTTAATTTTAGTTAGGGGTTTTTCTTTATCTAGTAAATGGAAAAAATTACCAAAGTGATTGATAGTCCTTAATTGCTTTTAAAAATAAATAATAAATTTTAATCTTAGAGTAAAAAGAAAGAAAAAAAACATTTTACAATAACTAGCATGCAATTATTACTTTCTGACAGCAAATGAGAACTCGTCCGTTCTTTATTATCTCCGTGGTTTGGCTATAAATCATGGTTTATCATAGTCAATAATTATTAGTTTTCGTGACTAACCTACATTAAGTCGCCACGGCTTATAGTTTTTCTTTTAACAAATGTTCTCTTATTATGGTTTGGGCATGTCTAACCTTTAAACTTTTGCAATATTTAGGCTCAAAATAGAACAGAGGCGGGCTGTGGATAAAATCAATTAGCTTTTAATTAAAGGAGGGGTGCTAAGGCCTCAAAAGAACTAACTGTCGTTTTACTCGATAAAATAAGATTTTAATTATTTTACATATTAGTAATATTCTGATCTTGCATTAATCTTTATTACGGAATATTTTTATTGAATATTATTAAGTTACGCATTTATAAAATTAATTATATCGTCGTTTATTTAACCGTATTACTACTAGATAGGTTACTTTACGTAGACCTCGCAACCATTGTAAAAATTCCTGAATTTCACTAAAAGTAAATAGTTTTTCATATCCCTCGTTTATATTTTTATAAACCATCTTTAACTATTTTTTTAAATAGTTAAGTGGGCCATCAATAAAAAAAAGGGGGGGGGCGGGAATTTCACAATTCACTTATAGAAAAAAAAATTAAACTTTAACTGTTGTGTATATAATTTTCAGTTCTTTTTCAATTTTTTTTTTCAACAAATTTACTATTTTCGCAATAATTTTGCTTAATTTTTGTCACATCAAATCAAAACCTTCGCCATGCTTTTACGAATTTAGCAACACTTTACAGGGCCCTAGGCAGCGTTAAAATCGAGAATGCTGGCGGCCATATTTAACACACATTTCGTAAATAATAATAATTCTCAATACTTTACACATTTAAGAGGTTCGCAATACTTAGCATGAATATCCCTGTAATTTATATAGTCTAATAAAGCATTTTTAACCTCATTATTCAGCATGAAGATTCACTCTTCATTTCGTTTTGGCATTTTAAGAATAAATTAAAACGTTTCAACATCAATTAAGAACTCACAAACTTTGTTTACAGTACATGCACAACCTTACTATAACTGATAACACTTTATCAGGTTAGCAAATTAAGTGTTGACAACAAGTGAAAGAATACCCCTATTCACGTAACTTGTATTAAATACTCAATGTGCAATTGTGCTAAACAGTTTGCATGAATTACATGTCAACGAATCCTCTATACTAACTGTTAACGTATGGTTATTGATACACTTGTAAATGCTTAATGTGCTATCATATTAAGGAGTCAGGACACATTTTGAATGAATCGTAAATAACCTATCTGTGTTTACGTACTAAAGTGTTATTAGTTCTCAATTGATCTGACGTTTTGATTGAATTTTAAAATGCCAAAGCGAAGTGAAACTGACTGAGTGACTGAGTTGCTGGATGATTAGTTAAAAATGCTTCATTAGAAAGAATAAACGAATATTCGGATAGTAATTAAATAATTTCTCTACTTAAGACGTTTACAATATTTAGCACTGGTTGCATAAATCCACTAATAAATTTAATAATAAATACTTAAGCATAATAAATAAAGTTCGCAGAACTTGAACTATTTAACTATTTTTAATTTACAAGAACATTTATTACCAACAGTCTTCTTGCCTTTTTTTCTGCTGTAGTTTGCATAATCGAGACAAAATTTAACTTTCTTACTACCTAGTCTCGATATCATTATCTTTTCTCTATAAACTACAAATCGTATAACTATTTATAAATAGGGCTACATTGTCAGAATATTATAAAAGTATAATGTAGAGAACGGAACGTCTATAATTTATTTTATTGCAAATTATGTTGGTTTTTTATTCCTAGTGTTTATGTTTTACCAATAAATTTAATACATTTTATTTGTAATATACAAAGATGCACATCCGTAGCAACTGTAAACTTTGTAATTTTTTATATATATATATATTATATATATATATATATATATATATATATATATATATATATTTACACAATTATATGTATCAACGACATTATTTACAACACTTTAAGGTCGTATATCGTAACTTAACAATCCCTATTGCCCTTATTTTTATCACAACAGCCTTCCTCCCGGATTCCCTTTGTTTTATATCACTTCTTCTTCTCTTCTTTGTCTTCCTCTTATGCCATTAGCTAGGAGGAGACTCAATCCATCGTGACCACTCTTTCCAGTCCCTGCTTAGCCGCTTCATCTAATTGAGTGTTTTCCTCTTTTACTTCCAATTCTTTGGATATACTCTTGGAATGTAATTCTGCAGCGTCCGCGTGGTCTCCTTCCTGTCGGTCGAGCGTCTAATACATTTATAGGATTCACTATAAATGTGTAAAATATCGAATAAAGTAAAATATTGAAATGATTGTGTAATTCTAAACCTTGGTAGATTGCGTTAATGCAAATTTCAGGATTTGGATAGGGGGTGGTACATGTGTAGGCTGGGATGGAATGATTGAATAAATGATTCCACATTTACTATAGAACTGAAATGAGAAAATTATAATGTTTTCTTAAATGGCGATAATTAATTTAAATATTTGTAGAATCTAATATTTCCTTTGACCTAACCAATGTTGCCTTCTCCCTCAAGGCCATGCGCCATGGCCCTCTCCCGAGAAAAAATATTACTCTCCTCTGCTTAAAAACGGTAGAGGAACATAAAAACTCACAAAAATATGGTTACCTCCGAAAATTCATAAGTACGTAAATATTTTCTTCCCACCTTCAAAATTCTTAATCCTGTAAAAATATGCACCGCTCAAAAACTATGACCTCGCATTGAAAAAGTTCAATGCGACCTCTATCTAGGTAGGCCTTGACTTAACTGAGATATGATCAGAATTGCTTTTAAAATCTGCCTTGCTGGCGTTGACCCTAGACGTTGGACATTGATCGGAAGAGCCGCGTGAGAGGAGATGGTTTCTGCCGGGACTCTAAAGTAAAACTTTAACGAGTTTCTCAACAGAGCGGAATGAAAACTGATAAGTTTCTCACAAAACTTTCACTCTCCGGTAAATTTTAGTGGACTGGTTATTCCATTAGCTCTCTTGGTTTCGGTATTTGCATGCATATTTACGCAATGTTAAGATAAACTTAGTTTGAGATTTCTTGGTTCATCAGGTGTGTAAACATATCTCGATAATTTTATAACTAGTAATTGTGACAAGGGAGGTAAAACACGCTGTGTTCATTTTTTCATTTATAATTTAGTAACGAAGAAACCATTTTTAATAGCTCAAAGTAATGGAAAATTAGCTTCTTGAACAAATTTGGAAGGAGGCAGTGGGTCCAGCCCACTTCAACATCGGAGCACGGAGAAGAGGACCACCACCAAGAAGACCGCCGGAAGACGGACACCCTTGATAAGACGTCACCAAAAATAATATATTTTAAACTGTTTCACTTGCAGTAGTATGCTGTTATGCAGTCATGAATAACAGTCCACTATTGCAAACGCCCGTATGGCCCATCAGGCAAGGTAGGGTGGAATGTAAATAAAAAAAAAAAAAAAAGCTTCTTGAACGAATACAAAAATGTGATATGGTGCCGTTTTCCTCTGGAGTGCTAATTTAGTTAAGAATAAACAAATTTTACTAGCTCAAAGTTATGGAACATTGGCTTCCATGGTTAATTTAAAAATAGACATTGTGTTGTTTTCCTCCAAGGTACAGATATGTAAAGTGGCCAATCAATATCTCATGAAATAAAGGCAAGGAGGTTAAGGAAGAGTACCACGAGGCCTCTACTCGACAATGAATGTCTCAGTACTTGGCAAGAGAATGACCAATGGTATTGCAGTGCTGCTTGCAATAAATTGGAAAGCAGCAGCCCAAGATTAATGCAGGTTGAGTACGGTTTGTTTTAAAATGAAGGCTCTTCCAGATGTGGGATGACAACCCAAATAACATTTCGAAAAACCGAAACTACCCTCATGGGGTATCTATGTGATGTCCATTTTTGTATCCATTCTAGACATTTCAGGACTGTTTGAATGGGCCATTAAGAGTTCTAAAAATACACCATTTATATGCATAAAATAGTTTATATAATTTTATTATAATAAAAAAAATAGTTTATATATTATGAATAAAAGTATATAATTCAGTTTGATGATGATCTGTTTCAGCTTTCCCTTACAATGCGTTCCACAGACAACACAGCTGGCCTACTACCAAGTTTCCTAGCCTCCGATTACGGTGAGTTAAATTTCTTTTTATCTCAATGAAGAAGAGAATCTGTCTGCAGAAGCTTTTAAGATAACGAGATTTCTGGATGTTTACCAGTGCGGAATCGTCCTGTCAGAAGTGTTTTCTTCTCGGAGAGCCGTTTGGTTTCCTTCCAGTTCTTCGAGAATAGCCCAACTGTTGTTATAAGGTCCTGATTTTTTATTGAATTCCTTATTCTTGAATATATTTTTCTCAAATTAAAAATTAAAATTTAGACGAAAAAAACAAAACAAAAAAAAAGAGAAACAAATAAATTAATTGCTATGTAAATAATGAATGTAATCTTATCTTCGATTGATTATGACTAAAACACTAGTCGAATAAGCATAGCTGATTGTTTTCTCAGCTGAAAATTTGATGGGTGATATGATTCATACATTTTTAATATTATTTATTTAATATTTTTTTTATTTGTTTCGATTTCGATTGCATAATCAGTAAAAATTAATGAATGGAGCACTTGAATTTTCTGTTTTTTCCACAATTTTTCCCAACAGCTTCTTTTTTCTTTGCAGTTAAACGGCTCAAATGTTGAAACTTTTATTTCCATCCAAATGATCAAAAAACTCGTTATCATTTGCTTTTTGACACTATTTATTCCATCTTAGTCTCTTTATCTCTAACACAGAGTCGCCTTAATCTCATTCACTACCTACAATAAAAATGCAAAGTGCGCCTAAAGAAATTTCCACGAAAAAAAACAAAATTCTAAAAATTGAAAAATTGTGCTTTAAATGCACTCGAATAGATATCAAGACATGAAATTAATAAGTACTTAAAAATAATATTAAAAAATATGAACATGACAACATTGTCATGCTATCCCCACATATATTATTAAGGTAAGGCTCGAAATCAGTTTTGTACCAAATATAAGTTCCTGTCATCCTCAAATACCATGAATGGGGTACCATTGGATTCAGAATTTCACGGAGGGTTAACGAATCGTTATTTCTAAAATAAATAAAGTCGATACAAACATTTTGCTAGGCTTCAATACTTGAACGGTGGTAGGTCTGTAGATCGATACGGGCAAATTGGATCTTGAAGATGCGTACAGCAAGACCCGGAACTATCGGATCCTGCGTTTTTGAGCCACAAAACGTTATTTTCGAGATAACGCAAGGCATAGGGTTAGCATCCACACAAGCTTACATTAATTGTAGTACTGTCATTGAATACATGTCTCATTTCGTCAACTTGAGGTCTCTATGATCGAGAGAGGAGGAGTTTATATTACTTATCGATGGTGTTTTTGATCGACATGCCATATCATCGTCAATTTTTTACCAAATCTCAAGAATGAGCCACCAATTTCGAAGGCTTCCTTCTCCTTCAGGCGGGCAAAATAGTCCAATCACCCTTAAAATTCAGGCAAACGAGTTATGAAAGAAAACAAACTTTATTTGTGAATAATTAAAAAATTACAAACTTTTCCCTGGGTTATGCCCGTGCTTATATAAAAGATTACTTAATTCCCTACAAAAGGAAAAAAAATCATTGTAATCGGACAATTTTTAGCAAAGATACAGCAGCTTACTGACATTTGTAAACATGTTGGTTCCAAACAAAAATGAAGATTTAAATTAATTTTTTTTTTTTTTGTCGATTACATATATAAAGTAACAAGTGATTTCTTTATCTTTTGATACGTTGCATTATTTTATTTTCTTATTAATCTGGTATTTGATAACAATATGCTGTACGAATTTTTCGCACGGGCCTACTAGTAATAATAATTTACCTAACTTATTTACTTATTAAATATGAATAATGAGATCTTGAAAATTATTCTTACCATTTTCATTCCGTTTACTGCATAGTAATTTTAAGCAGATTTGTCCTATAATTTAATTGTTACTAAATATTTTTGAGGAAACTGACTGAACGTCTACGATTACTGATTTTTTGGTTCCTACTGTTACTGATATCAGTAGCCGATTCAGTATTTAATATGGGAGGAGGTTATATAACCGTGATTAACTCTAAAGCCCAACTCCTACTTGATATTTGCAAAATGTCTCTTAAAAATTCTAAAGATTTTTTCGATATTACTATTTCAAAGGTTTTGTAAAAAAAATTATCAAATATGATGAAAAGTGGATATTTAAAAAAAACATATGTAGTGAATACGGCCAAGTGAAGCTACACACCGCAAGCCCGCCAAGATCTGCAGAATATTGCTAATATTGTTTTGATTTCAATAATTTTTTGTTTTCTTTTTTAGGAAATTGAATTACCTTTCAAATGATCATAAATAAAATTTATCCTTTATAGGGATATGTCCAAAAAAAATCTTTTCTTCATAACATTTTCCTATTTTTTTTCTCGAGGATGTATTACATATATAAAATGAAAAGAGTTTTAAGCCAAAGATTATATCTAATTTTCATCACTACCTTTAGTGCTGTTTTGTCACTAGCCTTTGTAATAATAGGTTTTTCGTCTATTGCGCAGTCGCTATTGCTCTGCGATTCAGGGCTCGATTTAGTTCACAGGCGTCAAGGGCCGAAACCCTTCAAAACAAAAAAACAATCTGGCCACCCGTTCATGTCTCGATCTTCGCACATAAACACCGACCATTGGCTCAAAATATTTTTGTTTTGTTTTTTGGTTTTTGGGCGCAGGAGGCTCTGAAATACAGAAGATCTGTTGAAACTAATCATTCACACAATATTGTTTGCTTCGAAAACAATATTTTCCTTGCGTAGCATTCTTTTTAAAGTAAAAGAAAAAAAATTCAAAACTTAGGATGCGGATTGGAAGGAAGAAAGTCAGAGAAACTGGGAGCAAACAAACAAATATTCTACTTCAGAGATAAGATTAAAAGCCACTCTGACCGCATTTCTTTGTGAAAACGGTTAATACAACACTGTACCTATATTATACCTTCCTGTATTGTTTTTATGTTTATTCATTCTTATACCAAGCCACTAATATCTATTTCTAGGTAGGGTAAGTGATGTTGAAACAGTACCCTTATCTGCTATAATTTCTCCAATATGTTTATTTTCTTAATATGTACGACAATTTTATGATATCGATTTCTTATCTTGCAGCTATACAATAAATTTACTTCCAATTCAGGTGAATTATGAAACATCACCGATTCAGTGTTTTGAAACATCAAACAAAGGTTTCCAGATGGTTGCTGATTACGAAAATTACAACAAATCTAAAGCAATTATAAATAAAAACATTTTTTCATTTTCGTGGTTTTTCACGTAATAAACTTGTTCTCATTAGTCCTTTACACACTTTTTTTTGTTTTCTTTCAAAGGCCAGAGTATGTCATTTAAATGAGTTTTCACATAGACGGACTAAACACATACTACTAAACGTCTAAATCAATCAGTTTATTTGTGAAAATTTAACGGTTTCTTATCTATCACCAAACAAGTAACAATAAACTCAATCACCCCAATCAACAAATTGTATTTATATGATGTGTGTGTGTGTATGTATATATGTGTGTGTGTGTATGTGTATATATATCTATATATATATATATGTGTGCGTGTTGTGTGAGTAAGTATGTGAATGTGTGTGTATATATATATATATATAGTTTACTTTTGCACATAAATTATATTTAGTTTTCTTGTACGTTTAATGATTGTAACATATTTTTTTTTTTCATTTATATCTTATGTAGGTTTTTATGAGATTTTTTCTACTGTAAAAAATTAATTTCAATTTTCTAAGTAGTATTTAAACCACTATTATGTCATGTGTAAGGTTACTACAACCATAAACTTGTAACTTATCTGTATGACATGTTGTAATGTATATAAAAAATAAATAAATTTAAAAAAAATGAGTTTGGCTATGTCAGAACTCTGACTTTAAAAAAAAAATGAGGATGCCGTGAGTGTGAAGTTGCCTAAAATGGGTGTTTACCATACAACTATCGGAAAAATTCTAAAACTTTTTAGAGAGACTAGAAGAGAAGGACAGGAACGGCCAAGTTCGATGGTAATCCTTCCACTCCGGTCTGTTAAGCATTCCTGAGTGACACTGAAGATTGTTTCATAGTGAGGATTTGTCTCAAGGAGGATTTTGTTAGGCTCTTGAAATGAGAGCTGTACAATATCTGCTATCCATTTTTTATTTTATATTTTTTATCAGACTATGGTCAATGTATTGTTCGCTCGTATGTATGTAACGATTTTTTGAGATAATACCAAAGACAAAAAAAAAAATGTTTTGACTCATCTTTCTAAGAATTTGATCTGAATTTCAATTAAATGGGTGATAAATATTCAGGACGCAGTCTTTTTAAAAAAAAAATATTTAATTTTTTATTTGTGCTAACGTTTCAACCCAAATATGTGGGTCATCTTCAGTGCTCAAAGCACGCCCTGAAGATTACCCACATGTTTGGATTGAAACATTGGCACAAATAAAAAATTAAGAAAAATGTTTTTAAAAAGACTGCGTCCTGAATATTTATCAACCATGATATGTAGAACAGTCGACTAGCTTCCTTCAATAATTTCAATTAAAGTTACAATTACATTTAAATACATTGTAATCGACTTCGTATAAAAAATAAAAAGGGTATTAATAATTCTAGATTTCAAATATATTAACAGGTACTCATTGCTACAATTCGATACATGGATGGAGATAATTGTACGCAGAAATTACTAGAATGATCTTTCCTAAACTGGCTTCTTAAGAAAATAAGATGCTTTTTTAATCCTAACTTGTAGCTGTAGTAGTGAGAGCTCTCATATTAAATAAGTATCTTTTTCTCTAACGCATTCGATGTATAGTAAGGAACATAAGCTAAACATGTTTATTCGTATAAAGAGTATTATATTGTCAAGAAAGTCTAATCAACACTCCTTCTAGCTTGTCCCGCTGGGAAATATATCTTCTTCTAGTTGAGCAATAAGAATACATAGCTATCCTTGATCACACACTAATCCATTATTTTACTCGCTCAAGACCTATTTGTTTTGTGC